ACCTTCAGGGCGGCCTGCAGTTCTTTGTCCTTTGCCGCCAGCTCTTTCTCCTGGAGACGAGCGGCCTCTCTCGCCTTCTTCAAGGCCGCATCTGCCTTATTTTTTGCCTGAAGGGCATCGGCATCCCGAGCAGCCTCAGCCTGCAGGGTAGAGAGCCCAACCTACAAAAGAGATACAGAGGATGAGACTTCAATCAACGGAATATGGAAATCTACCGTTCATTTAGGGGCAAGTCTCACCTGAAGAGCGGCGGCCAGAACCGCATTGGAGGCCTCTGAAGACGTCCGGGGAGGCATTTCCACGCCAACCAGAGAGGCAATTTCCTGCCAGACGTCATGGGCCGGACGCCCAAGGGAAGGGAGGATCAGCCCTTGCTCTTCGGGGGCCGAAGAGGAAGCCCCCGAGGCCTTTTGGACTTCTTGTCCTTCGCCTTCTCCCCTTCAAGCGGATGAACGACCTGTAGGGGCGCCACGACTTCGGGGACGACAGGGTTGAGGATGGGGGCCTGGGACCCCTGTGCCATCACCGTGGCAATGAGGTGCTGCTCCGCCTCCACCGTGCGACGATCGGCCTGGGAGGCGGAAGAATTAGAATCTGCCGCTTGGGCGGCCTTGGCCTTGGCAAGGGCAGCATCGGCCGCGGCACCCTTTCCCTTCCGGTTCTTGAGGAGCTTCTCGTGATTCATCTGTTCCTGGGTCGGGGGAAGACCTGAAAGAAAAATGGGAAGTGTTAGATGGACGAGCGTCAGGAATAACTCACCTCGGAGGTCAGGACCGCCCAGTACCCCGAGACGAGCGTAGAAGGGGAGATGTCCAAGAGCATGGGCGGTACCTATTCCTGCCGCGGCGAGTGCCTCGAAAGTTAGGAAGTCGTCTAAGGGCCGGACGCCGCCCGTCGAGATCTTCCTGATGTCTTCCTCCAGATCGTCGGGCAGCTCCGGGGACCCTATCTTGGGCGGATAGCCATTCCACCGTAGTGGCAGACGAGCATCCGCATACCGCACGAAGAAGAACCCGGTTTTTTCCAGTCATGGATGGAACTCGATGCTCCGCTGAACAACCTCCGCTTCGGACGGGCTGCAATGCTCAGGAAACCGTCGGAATTCTGGGGGGTGAGCCGATAGAAGTAATGGAACAGATCCAGAGTGGCGGTGACCCCATTGTCCTTGCAACGGACTAGGAAGGCGGAGAGCCACCGATAGGAATTCAGCATGAGTTGAGCGGGGGCTATCTGGTAACAGCAAAAGAATTCCACAAAGAACGGATGGAGAGGGAAACGCAGCCCAGCCTCGATGGAGTCCAGAAGCACCATAATCATCCCTGGACGTCTCCTCATCACGTGGGTTGCGCCGCGGAGGCTGTATACGGACGGAGGGGGGAAGAACACCTTGAGCTTGTTAAGGGCCACCGGTGAGAAGATCTGCTCATGACAGAGGACATTCTTGATCGGGCATAGATGCCTCTCCACATCTATCTTTAGCCCGAGGTCAAAAACTTCGATGTCGGAACCGTCCTGGGCCTCGACCCCGGAATCATATCCGTCCGGACGACCATCCTCACTGGCGGACTCCTGTTCCCCGTCTTCAACCACGGGATCCACCACATCGAGAGCCATACTGTTTTGCTCCCCCGAATCAGCACCCTCCTCACCAGGGACAGTCGCAACAACACCAATTTGGGCTTCCCCGGCCTGAACAGTTCCCACGGTAGGGGCCGAGCCAGAACTACCGGAAGTGCTAACTTCGCCCGAAGAGCGTGAACCGGAGTCGGAAGAGGAACCCGAGGAGGAACCCGATGAACCCGAACCAGAACTTGACGAGATCTCCATCGAAACCATCGCGGCAAGAATTCAAGACAAGAAAAAGAAGCAGAAGATGGAAGTTACCTTAGAGGGATTAGCCGAACTTGGGAGCGGGAGAAGACTTGAAGAGCTGCGGAAATTCGAAGACAAGAGAGCAGAAATCGGGAACCCTAACCCAGAGGGAAAACCCGGCATTTATAGGAGAGACACCGATGGGGGGACCAACGAGGGACGAACACGTGGCAAGGAGCGTATTCCGTCTCACGCGCTGTGCGTGGGACGAAAGCGTAATGATGGCATTTCCTCGGAAAATGCACCGCCGCTACAGCAGCCGTCACCTCGTTTCCTGAACCGTCGACAGCTGTTAAGCACCATGACCACGAGCGTATGCTTCTGCCAGATGCAATAAGACACAAGTATCGAGACTCAAACGTCCATTTCGGAGCATCTATACTTCCTTATGTCCTGCGCATGCCCAGAACATCAGAAGTGGGGGACTTGTGTTGGGATAATGGCCCAGGCCGAGGTCCGGCCCATTAACCCCTCTTTTCTATCGGACGCACGTCATGCTAGGACCAGGCTGGGCGCAGGCCCATGACCCTTGGGAAGAGACGAACGTCTGGAATTGGGGGGTCCAGGTTTCAAACGGCCCATCGCGACGAACGTATGGGCAGAGGTAAGGGGCAGGACCACTGGCCATCAGGGATAACGACGAACGTCTCCTGGGCAGGCCCATGATCGTCGGAGGAGATCCAGTCCACATGGAGAGAATCCACCAAGGTCAGGGGACGAACAGCCGAAGTTTCTTGGGGGTCACTTGGAGTGACCCAGCTCACCCCCTGGCGGACGAACGTCCCCATTATTTAGGCGGGAAGCCTAGATTCTGGCGGGAAGTGCATTTAATGCAGAAGATTTGGTGGTTGGGACACAAGCGGTCCGCAGGCCTCCACGTCAGCATAGCCACCTGCCCATTGGCGGGTATAAATAGAAGCATTTATTTCATTGTAAAGGGTTGGCAACTTTCTATTACTAGCACTCTAGCTATAGTATTCTTACTCGCAGCACTTCTACTGCCTTGTAAGACGAACGGCCGACGGAGCCTTAGCGGAAAGTATTGTATTAGGGAGTTATTAAGAGATAATAATACCTAATCATTTACTTGCTACCTTACTGCTTTCCCAATCCATATCATCTGCTTGCTGGGCTAGTTTAATCACATACTCCATTCGAAATCCTTGGGCTTACGTGTTGGACCCGGGGGTTGAAGGAATAAACCTCAACAATCTTTGAAGAGACGGAGGGCGTAATTCATTTAAAGCATCTCCAATAGAAATGTGGATTGCACCATACAAAAAATGGACACGTGTGGTATATCAATAGCCCGTGAAGCTGATGTGGAAGCATGGACAGTAGCTATCAAATTTTGTCTCCAACGGCTTCATCTTTCTTCTATTCTCTATGCAAAGCAATATCAATTTTCACATACGTAATACGCAATATATATACATACTCACCTCACCTATGACAAAAGCAGTACAACAACACTCAACAAAACTGCTCAATCAACTCACATAAATATATATGGACAAAAGCAGATCCAGGATGATTGGCAAAGAAGTGGCCGACTGGATAGGGGCGCAGGGTTACTCCGGTAGTCCGGCCTGCTGCAAAAAAGACGTATTGGACGTTTTTTGCAAGACCAACACCATGGATGTGATCTTCATTAATTAATATAATCAAATCGCCTTTTTCTCGTTGCCGGTAAAAAAAAAAACGAGCCGGAGAAGAAGATAGTCGGAGAGAAAACGGGGATGCTCACGCTACCGCCTAGACGAGGAGTGCCGCCATATCACGAGAACCTTTCAGACGGCGAGATGATTGTCCCATTAACTACGGCAGTGGAGTGCCACGTGACTCGGTGACTGCGTTGCCCGAAGGGAAGCGCTGCCGTGTTTGTTTGTCAAATGAAGCACTTGAGTTTGATACTCTGTATTTCTTAAATGTTTTCCTTAAAATTATTTTCGATTTCTTTTTGCTGAGTTGGCAATGAGAAGCCCTTGCTGAAACTAGAAAGCCGGATCGACAGTGTCCCCTATTTTCCAATCCAACTCAGCACGATAGCCAAAATACACTTTCCCATTGCGGAGGACAATTTGAGCGCAATGTGACGTGGCAATTCATTTTTTAGCAATTGATACCCGATTGCGGATGCTCTTAGAGCGTGCTTGGTATCATAAACGAGATTGACTGAATTTCGTTGAAGAGCAGCACCGATAACTTTTCTTTAAGCATTGTTAATGCCAAAAGTCTAAACTTATTAATTCATTTAGAGCGTGCTTGGTATCAACGAGATTGAATGAACAAGCTACTGCAAATGATAAAATTCTGAAGGATGCGGTTGAATTAGCTGAATATGTGTTGCATTGTGCACACATTATATTGAAAATATATTTTTATTAATAAACAAAGAAATATTATACAAAAAATAGTCAAGAGAGTCTTCTATATAAAATTTTTCAAGTAATTTAGTTAAATAAATAGCTCCAACATTATTTATTTTGATTGCCTCATAATTCAAATCTAAACTGTTTTTTTAAGAAGGAAACTTAAATTGATATCACAATATTCAGATAAGAAACAAATACATAAAATGACCATTTTCAACCGTCAACTTTCGAACCAGATTTAGAGTAAAAACTCAAAATCACTTAAAATACTTACAAAGTTCAATTTTGTTGAAGAGTTTAGGCTAAATGGTCAAATAGGCCATTGTACCGGTCGTGTAAGCTCAATTCATTCCATGAACTAAAAAAAGTTCAATTCACACCCTGAACTGACAAAAAATGATTCAAATTTTATTTTTTACAGGTAACAACCGGTCTTTTTTTTTAATATTTTATTGTTTATGAATTTATTTTGATTTATTGCAATTTTGACACTTTCTAATAGTGTAGGGGTGCGAATTGCCGAATTGGACCATTTTTATTGATTGTTTAACCTAAAAAAAATGAAATTTGAACATCTTTTAACCGGTTCGGGATGTGAATTGAACATTTTTTACATCAGAGACTGAATTGAGCTTACATGATCGATCTATAGAAAACCTACATCAAATAGAAAACCTATTTGATTAGCACGATTTTAAAAAAACGAGCATGGTCCCTACTTTGACTTTCCTCGATAATATGGGGAGATGGACTGGTAGTGGGAAAGATAACAGAAAATGAAAGAAATGTAAAGAAAAACAAGAACCCTAGTCCCCGGAAAGATCTAACCACCGCATCTAGTGGGTCGTCTCCATTTCCCTCTCGTTGCAACTACCCCATCGTTCCCGGATTCACACAAGTCTGTATATCGTACTTCATCGACTCCCATACCTTAGCGAGGAGCACCCTGACATCATCGTCTCCACCGAATCAGTTCTCATATCCCTTACTGTGATTGTGCACAGTGCATTTCGCCTCAGTTTGAAAACATTTTACCCTGAACTCCACACATTGCTCTTCTAACACCCCTGAACCTGTTATTATTCTCCTTCTTATGTGTCCCAGCCATGTCCGAGGCCTTTGACCTCGTATCCAGTCAACCATACACCAAGTGGACTGTCCTACACGTCTCCGAGGTATGCCCCACTTCATTGTACTCGTGTGGTTGTGTTTGCCACGAGATTTATCTTCACGGTTGGCGTGTCTGAGCTCCATTCATTTTTAATTTGAATTTTTACAATTATATTTGCCTCTATTTTACCTGGCAAGACCTGACGTTTTAGGGTAGATGCTAACAGTTTTTTTTACTTTTATGGTGCGAACTGTTGTAATGCTATTGCAAGTTTTCTTGGTTCAATTGACTTTAGAGTATCTTGAATTACAACTAGTATTATTCTTTTAAATGTAAAAACTTCAATGATTTTAATATAGTTAAACTCTAGCAGGAAAGTGGTTTGGTTCCCTTTGTTATGCTCATTTCTACATTGTTGGTTCAAGTCGTGTCATGAATGATCTGGTCTCCTAGTTAGATATTTATATTTGAGTATGTGCTGTTGAACAGGTGTATGCATAAAGTCACTGTGGCTATGCATGCTTATGTAGGTTCAATATACTAGAATAGAATTCCAGTTTTTTCAATGAATCACATAGATTATTACTTTTATAAATAGAAAAGTATAATGTTTGCTTTTCGTTTACTTAAAATCCCATCCCTGGGGCTTCACCACTTTAGGGGTGTGTGTGACAAATCGCCAAATTCGTACATTAAGCCCCTGTTTTTATATTTAATATCTTAGGTTTTGATATTTTATGAAGTCCCTGATTCTAGATTTTAATATTTTAAAGTTTGGCACTCATCTGTCAAACATGGATACTTCATCCAGAATCTTCAAAGGGCAGGGGTATGTGGGTCACTTATAAAAAGAACTTCTTCATAGTTCTTAAGCAGACTCCTGATGCTTACACACAAAGTCCATTAATTTTTTTGTTTGGCTTGTGTGTCTGTGTGTTTATAACCTCACACTAACCTCAATGGTTTTGAGTTAGTATACCTTCACCCCCAGTGGGAAGTTATTTTGATCATCTTTGTTTATATTTGAAAATTTGTTAACCTCATTTTGCTTGGAATTATTCACATGTTCCTAATGAATGCCTCCTTTATATCTTACGGGTTCTTTTTCCTTCTTCTTGCCAGTGTGCTGTTAATCATGGTATCGAGCACATATTCAGCAAATTGATTACTAAAATTGGAGATCCTATTGACTTTGAACTTCCCGACTGGTTAAATAAGTGGCAGCCTATGCCATACACCAATATAAGACGCAGTATCCTTTTCAACGTGGTTACAGCTGTAATTTCCCAAATTTCCATTTACAATTAACTAGTTTGTCTTTCTCTGGTTTAGAAAATGGTTTGTAAAATCATGTGACATGTCATGTACATTATATTATATTCAAGTGAATATGTGTTTTTATCACTTTATGGTTGACTGTTTCCCACCTATGGGCTATTGCTTTCCCTAGCCTTTCATGTTGATCATACATTAACTAATTAAGATGTATATCGCACCAAGAGGATTAAGAAGCGTTTGGAAGATGATGGCATTTTTTGTTCCTGCAACTCTATAGCTGGATCTTCTGGTGTCTGTGGTAGGGATTGCCTCTGCAGGTGAGATTTGAATATTCGATTAATTGAATGTCTGTTGTAAGTATGATGCATGAATCATGATAGTACTCTCTGAAAGGCATGAAAGTATGATCCATTTGATCCATGGTTTTGATTCTCATGAAAACCCTAAACGATTTAATTGAACACTTACTGTATAACATACTCCCCAATTTGATAAGTCATTTGGTTAGGCATTTTAAATAAATTTATCTAATTGATACAAAAAAATTGAATTAATTGAACCGGAATGCCGTTGAATGACACAATATCGCTACTAATACCTCTTGTAGTCTGGTCATATGACTTCTATTCATACACCTTTTATGTAGAATACATAATTATATTTATGCATACAATTTGTCAATTACATTAAATTCATACATGACATCCAAAATATGATAGTAAACTCAGTGCCAATCTTTTTTATCATATTTATAAATCCTAATATACCAATAAAAACCAGTCTTGAAATCCCAAATCACAGATGATGCTCTTTTTCCCTTTTAAATCTTTCAAACTACTCCACTGCCAAGCAAGGTCAAGAATATCTCCTATAAGCTTTTTGTAAGTACAAGTAGAAGAGAAGTTGGAGACGAATGTAGTTGAAGGCTGTGTTGTGACATTAGTCGTTAAAAAACCAGAGAAGAAACAACATTTTTTTAAGCCCGGGATGAGTGGTTTAGTTTTGTTACTTCTTTATTTAAAAAATCCTACTTTGCCCCTTTAAACTGATCAAAACCAAAGGGAAAATTCCTGAAATAGATGTAAAAATGTTTTGGAATTTTAGAAAAAGAGCAGTTTTTATTTTCTGAATAGGAGTATTTAGTGCCAAGCTTGGAAGTACTGCCATGTTTAAAGCTCGATAATGCCAAAACATTGCAATAATTGCTCATACTTAGGGAATAAAAACATAGTAGTCCTATTTTGGAATTCACAAACATTTTGCCGCCTATTCAGGGAAACTTCTTAATACAAAAAAACCCAAATATATCTTGTGCAGACCATTCAAATTTCAGTCTGCAACAGCCAAGCTCTCCACTACAGAGAGTCTTGTAACACTAGGCTGCTTCCCTGCCCCATTGCTATTGGGCACTTTTGATGTCACAGAGAGACTTGCTAAGTGTCTTCTGGATTAGATATTTGTAGCATTAAGGATTATTAGAGACAGGGTTAGGTGTTTTATCATCATCATCATTACCCCAGTGCCGCAAAGGCTCCCACCTACGGTGAGTAGGGGGGGGGGGGGTCGGATGTACGAAGTCTTACCCCTGTACTGAAGCACAGAGAGACTGTTTCCCAATGACCCATAGTGAAAATTGCGTCGAAAATTGCGATTGTTACTTCATAACAAAGCAGACAGTTTAGTAGGCCATTTTGTTTTATTCCATCATATTCCCAAACCAAAAAATAGTGAGTCTTTGGCTCTATTGAAAATGATGGAAAGGGAGTGGAGGATCCAAATAGACTTGTATTAGAGGAATCAGAACTGATATGCGTCTTCTTGGGTTGGATGTGAATATGGATTTGGAGAGAGTAAAGTGGAGGGCGCACATCCGTGTGGACGATTGATGTCTTTTTCTACCTTTCCCCTCTCTTATCTTTTATCGTTTATCACTTTATCTTCTTTATTTTTTTTTATATTCTAATGTTATTTTTATCTTCTAGCTTTTTTATGCTCTTTTATCTTTCTATCCTTTATCTTATATTCTTATGGTATTGTTATCTTATATGTATTTATCTTTATTTTATCCGTTTTATCTTACTTTTTTTCCTGCTTGTCCGTCTTCTCTGTTTGGCATCGATATCATAGATTGATTCATGTTAGCCGACCCCGAATTCTTTTGGGATTAAGGCTTGGATGTTGTTGTTGTTGTTGGACTCTAGCACGAGTTGTATTGTAATTGTTAATCTGTCAAGTTTCATGAAAAGGATGATGCATTGCTATAGGAAGAGTTGTATTCTTTACCTTGTATTTCCTAGGGTGAGTTTTTTATCTGATTCTCCAAATGCAGATTTAAGTTGCTCAGTGTGTGTTTGTGTTTGTGTATGTATATATGTGTGTGTACATATAATTAGATATAAACTTTATCTTTTGTCCTTTAGTTTATGACTTGTTATTCCTTTACTTTATTGTACCAGCTTGCTAATGTCTTGCTGCTCCTCTGGATGTAAATGTAATTCATCATGCCTCAATAAACCTTTCCAGCAACGCCTTGCCAAGAAGCTGAGAATAGTTAAGGTATTTTTTGTTTTCTGGGAAGAAAGTCATGTTATCAGAAGCAACTTAGATTAATGGCATCTTTATTTTGTATCCTTTATATCCTTTTTTTTTTGTCACCTGTACTTGAACAAAGATCAAGGGACCCTTTCTGTTTATTCTTATTAGGAGTGGGATTGATTGTGTGCTCAAGTTGAGTAAAACAAACAAAGGCTTGAAATTTTCTTCTTGGATATAGGGATGGATAGCAACCGAAAACACGAAGAATTTAAAAATATTGTAGGACTTCTTCAGTTCTGCAATTCAAGATTGGCACTTTCTAAGGGAGTGTTTGCAAGAAATTAAAAAGAAATGCTTTCCAACTTTTGGCTTAAAAAGTTAAAGTAGTGTTTTCAAACACACGCTCCTGCTTTAATTAAGCACATTAAAGCTCAAAGCTAAAAGCACATATAATTGAACACTAGCTGGCTAGCTATTTGCTGGTGGTACAAAAATATAAAGGGATAAGGAAGAAAAACATTCACTACAACATTTATATTATATCCATTTATTAGTTAACAAAGGAATAGTGTTGGGAAGTTAGTTTACTGTGTATCACATTAATGTGTCTTTGTAGTTCATACATGATTGTATTTGGATAATTTTTGGTAGTATGTTAAAGTCTACAATTGTTCAATTTGGCTTTGACTTTATAATGTTTAACATATTGAAATAACAGTTTTGTAAAATTCTATCACTCTATTGTAGTTTGCTTTGCTCTATTTTTTTTAATAAACGGCTTATATTAATATTAAGAAAACATGCAAAACAAGAGTCAGCCACCCCATACACATAGCAACCTGACTCGCTAGACACAAAACGGGCAATTGTAAGCCTAAAACGATCGAAACCGAAGCACTGCCTATCAAGAGTCCTCCCAAAATCCAAATATGACAACCATACCTACTCGAACTAAAATAAAAACAAGTACTATTAAAGAAAAAACAATACTGATATAGAGCTTCTTATTGTACAAATATTAAAGAATCTGCAGATATTAACCTTCTAAACATGTTTCCTCATTACTGTCTAACTTTTCCAATTCAACTTGCAGACAGAGAAATGCGGCTCAGGTATTGTGGCTGATGAAGATATTAAGTGTAAAGACTTCATTATAGAATATGTTGGGGAAGGTAAGAGATTTAGTTTGTATGTTTTGATGAAATCATTATTAGAACTCTGTTCATAGTATTTTCACAAACCTAGAGAATATTTGGTGCAGTTATTGATGATAAGACGTGCGAGGAGAGACTCTGGAAAATGAAGCATAGCGGGGAAACTAATTTTTACTTGTGTGAAATCAACCGGGATACAGTCATTGATGCAACTTACAAGGGAAACAAATCAAGATACATTAATCATAGTTGCTGTCCAAATACTGAGATGCAGAAATGGTATGTTTTTTGCTATGTAATTCATGCCTGGTACACTCACCTTCTCATCTTCTTTTCTTAATATTTTTACATGGTGTTGTATTATAGGACGGTTGATGGAGAAACAAGAATTGGCATTTTTGCAACGTGTGACATAAAAAGGGGCGAGCATCTAACCTACGATTATCAGTATGGGTGATTTATATAATTATACTCTGTATTATTTTTCACTTCAATTTTTTATCCGAGCTATAAAATTCAGGCTTTACAATCACCTAGGTTCTGTATTCACGAAGAAAAAAAGGCCCCAGTTTCCCACACTATTGGTGGGGCAATTACTCAGCAGTCAGCACCTAGATGCCCTAGTCCACCTACCCTGATTTTTGTAATACTATTGGTTTAATATTATATGAGTAAGTTCAGCCATCGCCACTCGGTTGAAGTAAAGAATCAAACCCCTGGGGTAGAATATTTTTTACCTTCTATGTGCATCTCAGTTACTCATATGCTATGAACCCACATGGAATCCTCTTTTGTTGGTTATAAATTTGAATGTTGTATTGTTGTGATGTGATTATATTTTAAGCGTTGGTTTTTATTAGTATTTATTACTAAGTACTATTTATGTAACATGTTATGTACTTTATATTGAAACTAAATGTTTGTCACATAGGTTTTATCAACAAGGAAAAACCTCAGGTTAAATTTACCTTATCCCTAAGAACCACTTGGCCATCTTAGGCGGATACACTTTAGTGTGGTGCCTAACAAACATTAGAACATTATTTCTATGAAAAAAGCCAATAATAGGTTAGCTATACCTTATATAGTTATGTCTCAGGCTCTCAGCACCCCCTATGGATCCTCGGCGGCTAGGCTTAGCCCCTGTTTGTTTTTTGGCGTTTTGAAGCCATCCCGCTAGAAATTCTAGCGTTTCCTTTTGTTAAAAAACGGCGGTTTGGCCTTAACCGCCAGTATCCAAACAGAGCCTTAGTCTGGCCCCTAATGAATTTTAGAACTTACAGTAGTTTTTTGGATGAACTTTACATGTTGGTACCTTTATGTCTTGAGCATATCCTTGTATATTTGTCTAAAAAGGGTAGCAGGTTTGTACAATTTGGTGCAGATCAGGATTGCCACTGTGGAGCTGTAGGTTGTCGAAAAAAACTTGGTGTCAAACCAACTAAAACAAAGATATCATCTTCAGAAGCTGCATTGCATTTAGTAGCCTGTCAGGTGGCCGCTACATCACCCAAAGTGAGAGCACTTTTATCTGCAAGAGAGGTAGTTGTTAACTACGGAGTATTAAGGATTATTGTTACCAAGAGAGTTAAAATTACGATAGCCATGGTCATAGACTCACTGGCTGTAAAAGACATAATAAAGCAGTTAGTTTTGAACTTTCTGAGTTTTAGAGTAGTTCTGTTGAATGTTTTCCTTGGTAATGAAATTATTGAAACATTTGGCCAAATGGTTATCTTCCTTCTAGTTATTTCTTTCCATTGTTCTTTTCTTTAATAAATACTCAATTAGAAAAAATGTGTGAGCTGCCCTCTGCCCCCATCTCCTTTCACGGGGTTTTTCTTCAATAGGATGATTAAATATGTTATCACTAATATAGTGATATATGAACCGTTTTCCATGCTGCACTTGCTCATTTCCCGTCCAGCTACTTTTTAAAGCTCACTTCAAGATTTAGCTTGTTGATCTTAATAGCATATTACATACATGTTTGTAATCCTTCACAAAAATAGACTTTTTCCCAAGAATATTTGTGCTAAATGCCCTTTCTTTTTCCTTTTTTCTACATGGAAGGCCTATCAAAATGGTGGTTTTGTAGCAGGTAAAACGGCTTTTGTCTTTCTCTATTCACTTTTTCCAGTTCACATTTTACAACATAATGTTCCATTCACTGTTCACTTGGAGTCTGTGTGACACTATTCTTTCCATGCCCAGGAAGCTCATTTTATGATCCTGCTGAAAGAGTAAGGAGTTCACCCAACTGCATTGGCCAAGTCATTAGAATAAGCCGCTCTTCAGATAATGGGTTTGTCTGACTTTCCACTTTCTAATTTATTAGGTCCCCATCATCCCTAAAATGAACATGGTCTGCAAATGGGGGGCATTTTTAGACTTAGATACAACAAGAATCTGTAGAATAAGTGTTTCTTTCTTCTCCATATAGGGCACATTGTACAAAATAAAAAACGTTTATTGTATTCTAACTTTCCAAATGTACTTCAAATATGAATAATCTATAGAGCAAGAAATTGCAGTTAAGTTAGTTCCTTAGAGCATCTCCAATGCCACATGAGCACTGTGCACATGTGGCATGAGAGAGATAGACACTTAAATATTAGTAAGTAAATTATCTCTCTCCTTATTTGATTAATATATATGTTTTTGGTAACTTTTCTCCACAATGTCAAGACAAGTGTCTACATGTAGACATTGTGGTGACATTGTTGATAAAAAGTTACCGAAAACATATAAAACCGTAGAAAGAGAGAGATAGAGATAAATGTCATTTATTTATTTTTATGTGTCTATCTCTCTCATGCCACATGTGCACTGTGCACATTGTTGCATTAGTGATGCTCCTAGTGATGTGTAGGTGTGCATTGTCGATTGTAAAGGTGCAATGGTGAAGGTGCTACAATCTACTTTCTAATGGGAGCTATGTTTCAGGTCTTTTGGAATTATAAAACACTATGATAGCACAACAAGAAAACATTTGGTAAGAATCCATTAGTTCATGTATGTATGACACTAGACTTAATTAGACTAAAGATATAACGTTTGTCGTTGTCAACAGATAATGTTTGAAGATGGAAAGAACGAATACTTTGACTTGTCAAAAGAAGATTGGCAACTGTGTTAACTCTTTTTTGTAAATCACTCATCAGGCAAGTCTTAGTGTATTATATTGCCAGTTTAAACTTTGCGCTCATGCTTTATGTCTCCTTGCACTTGCTTTGGCCAATGGCACACAAGTTTACCAGTGTTGAAATGCTAATAGAGTTACATTGTACAAGTCATTCACTCATTCTAGAATTGTGTGTCTAAGCTGGCTCCATATGAAGTCACAGGTTATTCTTCCCCTAATACATAAACTATGACATTTAGGTCGTTTATAGGGACTCAAGAGTTTTGGCCCCTCACTGTAATACTTAACCCCTGCATTGTCTTTGAAGTGTTATAGTTAGTTTCTTATGTAATTTCTCGAATTTAGTTGTTTTGCATACACATGATCTTCCTCTTGAATGTCTTGTGATTTTCTTTTTTCTTTAAGTGAGAAATCAACTTCTCACTTCCAAATGTAATTCATACAATAGTTTTGTGAATTAGAAATTTGTGAAGATAAGGGATAGCTGACATATTTAGCAAGTATGCAGGAATGATTTTTTCATCTCATTGAGTAACTGCCCTGACTAGAATTGGGTTGTTTTAAGTATCAAACCATTTTTCTCTTCAAAGTTTTTTGGCAGATTCTCTCTGGATGAGTAGTGGTCATACATAAACCATGTAGTTTAAGCCAATAAGAAATTAGGATCAAGTCATTTGTCTCAGAAATGCATGTCTCACTAAGTTACTGGTATCTAGCTTCGAAGTTGTGAAGTAATCAAAGCATCCTTCATAAAAAATCTTCTATGTTTAAGCAATTTTTGTTAGCTGACCGTAAGCTCTTATGGAAATAAGGCTTGGATGTTGATGTGGCCGTTGTAATGATTTGTATTTGAATAGTTTAATTCGCAAGTTATAATAAGTGGAAAAGAAACCAAGAAAGATGTGCTGTTATAATTGTTTTCTTATCATTCTTGTTATTTTTAATGGCTTGTTGGGGATTCGTTGTATTTCAGGAATGGAGTAAAAAAGTTACAGGACTGTAGAACATGCTTCTTCTAATTGACTGATGTTGATTGTTAATCCTTTGCTGTACACTTGTACCAATCCAGTTTTATAATTGTGTACACCATACTACGCAATTCTTTTTCTTCAATTTGTCAGTAAAGCATGAGATAGCCATTACATTCATTAATTCAGAATGAATTTCTAGATATGAAAGTTGTAACTTGTAGTAGTATCATTCGTTCCATGTAACCATAGTAAACGTAACATTAGAAACTCAAAAGTGGTAAAGACGATTTTCTTGAGATTCAAATATGGAGTACTTTTTGTGTGTGTTGATTACTTGTTGGCTTCTTGCCTTGTTGAATGGGTACAATAACTGTACTCTTACGTATGTATAATTATTTACATATATAACAAATATACTTAGAATTGGAAAATTTCATGAGGACTTGGGTTTGGAGTATTTGTTGAAGTGAAACTTTTATTTGCAAGTTTTGCAAATAACTTTGAAGTATATTTGGCTCGGTTCTGGGTTTGGAACTTGGAAAGTTGGAAGTTGGAAGGGTTGAAAGGGAAGAACGGTCAATGTAACCTGAATTTTGGAGGGACCAATAGTTAGCCAGGTTTAGAAATGTGGTATATGAATATATACTAGTCGGGAAAAGGGGCAAATAAGCCCTCGAACTAATCAAAAAAGTGCAAATAAGCCCTTTTGTAGGAAGTTCTGTCTATCCATCGTCATTTGGGGAGGTTCCCGGTGGAATTTTTTGATGAAATTTTTTGAGCATCTTATTCATCAAGTCTAGTTTAGTCATACCGATTTTCAGCTTAAAATTCAATCGGGAAGACAGTCAAATGAATTTTTGAAGATAATTGCGCAGTTAAACAACACAGTATATTTCCGAAAATCATTTGGGTGCCTTCCCGGTTGAATTTTTAGCTGAAATTTGGTATGGCTAAACTAGACTTAATGAAGAAGATGCTAAAAAAAAAATTCATCAAAAAATTCCACCGAGAACGGAGAACCTCCCCAAATGATGACGATCGGACAGAACCTCCTACAAAAAGGCTTATTTGCACATTTTTTTATTAGTTCGAGGGCTTATTTGCCCCTTTTCCCTATACTAGTCTATCTGTTTGTATATATTATACGGAGTAGATATTAAGAAATTAAAATTTTCTAAATATCAGTGGTTAAAATTCGTGTAAATAAACAGAGCCACATAACACTTTCATTTAAAGCAAGAGCGGTATATCTTTATCCTTTAGGACATATTACTGGAGTATCATACTCGTTATCAAGCATAGATTTAAAAATTAATATGTTGATTAGTTTTATAGATGAACACGCGATAATGATGTTAAATTTGAACAATTATTCAAATAAAACACTCAGTGAGGATAATATCATAATATGTATAAATTCATCAAGATTCTATTATTCTAATTCACTGCATCCGCCCGGGCCACAGAAATAATTGCTCAACAGGATCAGTTAGATGTGAAGCAATCAATAGGAATAGTTGAAAGGCTATTGAATTGGCATAATAAGAAATTGTTGTCAATATTTGACTTTGATGAGAAATGTTACCAACATAAAGTCATGATCGAAGGGCCTCTTCTAAGGAGCCATAATCAAATCATTACACTATATGCAAGAGTCCTCAAACTGCTCATATCCATTATTAGATACGGAGTAGTTTCCTATTACTCCAAGTGAAACTGTTGATATAAATCATTATATGTTTTTTACTTAGATTGGTTTTGCTAGACAAGATATTAATAGACAAGTTCAGACTAGATCAAATCAAATCAAACTATATTTAAATAGACTTCACCGGATCAACTCAGGTAATTAATTAGTTAATTACCTCAAAATAAACAATTTATTGGGTAATTTCTCACGAAGGAATTGAGCTTTTGGATACCATGTATTCTCAAAATAGGACACATTCACTACCATTTTGAAAAGTTTTAATCACCTAATTTTTTTGATAGAACTAAATAAGTCATATTTGAGGAATACAACATATTTCATCCTATTTTTTAACTTTATCTATGTTGTGTCTTATTCCATACTTAAGTTTCATTTTCATTAATTAAAATCATGAAAATTATCTGCGTTTGCAAGTTTTTTTTTTTTTTTGTGCTTTTGTTTCCCGCATGGCTGCATGGATGGTGAACTTTTTGTGTATATTCAAACGGTACCCTTCATGACATTATGACAAAGCCAGCTTTCTCTCGTTTGACTTTGGTTCTCACAGTTAGGGGCGGACCCATGAAATTCATCTTGGGAGGGCAGTAATTTAAACAAAAAAAATTGTTTAGAGGGCGAAAATAATTTTTCGTATATATATACACTCATTTTTTTTGGAGGGGCGGTCCCCCCGGGTCTCTACTACGGTCCGCCCTTGCTCACAGTTCAATCTTTGTAAATTTGTTTCATGATAATGAGAAAATATATCTTATTTTTTTCACATTAAGATATCACATTAAACCTTCTACATCCCTGTAATGTAACAAGGCTTTGATCACCTCTTTCAACAGCTAAGTTTTTCTGCATTTGTCTTCTTTTGCAGATTATCGAAAAAATTGGTCCTGAAACCGAAAAACTGAAAAGCAAAGGAGTTGACTTCGCCTTGGTTCAAGCCAGAAGCTTACGAAACCGATCTTTGAGAAACTTAGCGTTTGCTGCTATGTGAATAGGATTGTAGATAACAGCAAACTGAAATCTCACACTCTCACCTTGTAGTGACCAAAAAACATTGTTTTACTGTCATTCAAGTGTGTATTGGTTTAAATTTTACAAGCTACCAATAAAGTAAGCAATGGATTACTTACAGAAGGATCATACAGATTACATAGTATGAAATGCTAATACTAACTATTATTATTATGGCCTTGAGCATATATCAAAAACTGGTGGACTCAGCACGCTGCTTCAGCCTTTCTGTTCGCTTACTTCTCTCCATAGCATTCACAAGCCAGTTCACGCTCTCCTTGATTCCAGTCCTGTAACCAAAAGTCAAGTTAGTTTTAGTCACAACCACTTTGGAGCACATATTTGATTATGGTAACTTTTGGGTTATGATGCATGATGACTTATGTTGCAATTGCGTCTCAGTGACTAATATTTTCAATTACCTAAATTATATTTTACAAATTATTTATCAAAAATTAATGTCATAAATGACAGTTAAGGTGTCATTTACTTGCATTTCATTCATTTCAGAAAACAAACAAACAAACCATTTTTTGCACTTTTATCAACTAAACGAAAAAAACCAATGTTTGCACTTTTATTGACTATCAACTGAAAGCAAAACTAATGAAGTCCAAGAAATCGTTCTTCCACTCACCCTTCATATGCTGAAACGGCTTGATAAGTGTAGACTCTCTCATCTAATTTCTTGAGATCGAGATACCGGTCGAGTTCTTCCACTGAAACAGCTTTAGCCAGATCCTGGTATCAACAAGTTCAAGAAACATGACAATTGTTGTTAACAAAGCTTAGGAGTTCCATCAAAGTTTGTCCATTCCCCTAATACAGCTCATGAAAAAACAATCTTCAGCAACACAATACTTGTTCCATTTTCTCTAATGGTCCGTTTGGAACCCGTAAATGGCTAGTTGAACAAAATACGAATTAAAACAGAGGGGGAGTTTGGAAGGAAATAAATTTTAGGAAAAATAAAGCTTGTTCAAGCTCGACTTATTTATACGTTTCAAACCAAGAAATCTAGAAAATGTGAAATCAAAGAAAAACAGTTTTGTCATTGTATATTTCAAGTTAAAACCAACACTCCAATCCATTTTATTTAATGTTTCTTTTGCCTTTCCCTAACATATTCTAGGTTCCAAACATGGCCCAAGGAAATCAAAGAAATTACCTGCTTGTTTGCCAAAATCAAAAGTGGGGCTCCTTGAAGCTCCTCATGCCGGAGAACCTTTTCTGCCAATTATTTACAAACCAAGAGTGCCTTCAACAACATGTATTCATTAATCAGGCTATATACAGTGACTAGAAATGCATTATTAATGTATGAAGACTTACCAAGTGCAGATTTAGCATCTTCAAAACGTGACGGGCAAGCAGCATCAACCACAAATAGAACAGCATGTGCCTCCTCGTAATACTTCTCCCAGATTGAGCGAAGACCAGGCTGAAGCAACAAATAAATCATAAAATCCATAAAAACTATGACTGTCTTTTTAGGACCATCTTTAATGGAATACAGACCATGTACAATATTCATCACAACTACAAGACTGGTTCATGAAAGTTCATAATTCAAAACTATATGATCAAGATCACAATCACAGTTAACCATTAAAGTATTTTCACGTACCTGCCCTCCGAGATCCCAAAATACAAGTTTTGAATTTGAAACTTCAACATGCCCAATATTCAGTCCAACAGTTGGAACAATGCGATCAGGTGGAAGGGCTTCTATGTTCAAGAATTGTGACTTCAAGTTTTCTAATAATGTCTAAAAGAAAAACATAAGTTAGCTGTAAGCAAAATATTTTACCTCACAAAATCACACATATCATTTATGAAACTAACAAGAAAAAGAAGTTGCGCCATACTTAGTGTGTTTATAACTTACACAGAAATCGAAACAATAGGAGGGATTGAGCACAGTTTTTTTGAGAGGGAAGAAGGGGGGGTAGTCCCTCCCCCCAGATTAGCTTCCTACTTTCCTTTTCATCCATTTATATTTTCTTTTCATTTCCTTTCAAGGAAAAATATGGGAGGTTGATAATTTCTCTTTCATTTCTAAATCAATTTGAAACGCACAATCTCATATTATTAATAAGAGTGGCAAAGAAAATGGGAAACTACAATGCTACATTGGGGCCTGAGAGAGTATTAGCTTCTTGGGGCATGACTAAATTCTAAAACTCAAATTTATCAAGGGCATGGCGATTTATCCAATTATAATTATGAATGGACGAATATAGGTGAATGTTCCTGCAAGCTTTTACTGAAATGCTATTTCTATCATTATGCTTTTACTATAATGTCCAAGCAAACTACACTTACAAATTTGAACAAACATTCAGACAGAGACAAAATAAAAATGGCAACTTTTGACATCTAAGGTTGTCAAAATGGACTTTTTTTAGAGAAAAGGGGCAAATAAGCCCACGCACTAACAAAAAAAAGGTCAAATAAGCCCTTATTTAGGAGGTTCTGTCCGGCCGTTGCCATTTGGGGCGGTTCCCGGTGGAATTTTTTGATGAAATTTTTTGAGCATCTTATTCATTAAGTCTAGTTTACTCATACCAAATTTCAGCTAACAATTAAATCAGGAAGACATTCAAATGAATTTTTGAAGATAACTGCACTTTTAACTGCGTAGTTATCTTCAAGAAGTTATTTGAATGCCTTCCCGATTGAAGTTTTAGCTGAAATTTGGTATGAGTAAACTAGAGTTAATGAATAAGATGCTCTAAAAAATTTCATCAAAAAATTCCACCGGGAACCGCCCCAAATGGCGACGGCCGGACAAAGCCTCCTAAATAAGGGTTTATTTGACCTTTTTGGTTAGTATGTGGGCTTATTTGCTCCTTTTACCAGAATAGCAGCTGAATAGCAGTCAATGTAGAACTGTGAAGTATGAAATGTGAAATAATGAGCTTCTTTTACCATATGCAAATAAAAGGTTAGGGGATTGAGATGGTGGGAGTTCATAAACCACAACCATTAATTTTAAACAAAAAAGCAGAATGGTCTCAACTAAAAGAGAATGTTAATGAAGACCTGAAGGGGGATTTGAAAAGAAAAGTACATATGAATGATACCGTTTTTCCAGCTTTGTCAATCCCCAGGATAAGGACATGAAACTCTGTCTTGCTGAAAGCATACTCCCAAAGTCCGTACAACAATGAAAACATATCTATCTGGTTCTGGTTTCCATCAAAAGGATTAATTCAAATACAGAAGCAAACAAAAAATCCATGTTGCCAACTGAATACGAATAATGGAAAGAATAGAACTTTCATGATTATCAATGTATACAATGGTCAAATTTCAGAAACGGCATTCAAAATTCTATATGGTTTATGATTGTATACAAATGATAATAGAAGGATTTAAGGATTCTGCAAATGCTCAAAGCATGTTGCTAACAAAAAAATGATTTAAGACTGTTTCAAAACATCAATTTACTTCTGTCCAGAATTATACGTTCCAGGACTGTAAATGTTATTCAATCCTACAATCTATTATGCAAACAGTGATGCAGAAATGACTATATTGTTTCAGAAATTGAGCTCATGATTAGTCGCACAAACCAAAGAAAAAATAGCACTCCCTTCCACTGGGTGAATCTCTCATTTGTAAAGCCAAATTAACTGAAATTATATCCATGATCAGGGAGAGATCGAAAAGAACACAAACCTGAGTATAGAAACCGTGGGAACAGCAAGATCGCGGCAAAAATATCAGGGGGTGTTGATCAAATTTGTGAGAAGGATAAATTGAATGAAAGAATTGCAAAATTATCAGGTTGGGGCAGAAATTAAAACAAAGAAACTTGAAGTGCTACAAACTTACAAAGGGTGTTGATGATCCTGAGTTTAAAGTAAGTCTTTGTTGCGCTTAGGCTGTGTCTTAAATAAAAGCTAAAAAGTGATTAGTATTAAAAGTTGGTAGTGTTTGGTAAAATAAGTGCTTTTTTTGTAATAGAAAAAGTAAAAAGTAGATTCTACACGAAAAATGAGGAAGTAAAAGTTGATAGTGTTTGGTAAAATAAGTGTTTTTTTCTTAAAAAAAGCCAAAATCACTTTTTTTAATTGATTGCGCTTAGGCTCTGTCTTAAATAAAAGCACTTTTTGGGAAAAAGTGATTAGTAGTAAAAGTTGGTAGTGTTTGGTAAAATAAATGTTTTTTGTGTAATAGAAAAAGTAAAAAGTAGATTCTACACGAAAACTGAGGAAGTAGAAGTTGATAGTGTTTGGTAAAATAAGTGCTTTTTCTTAAAAAAAAGCCAAAATCACTTTTTTTAATTGATTGCAAACAAACCCTGTAGTTATTAATGTATTTTAATTAGGGTGGGCAAACTGTTTTGGTTTAACCGAACCGAACTGAATCAAAAATTGGTGGTTTGGTTTGGTTAAAAACCGAAAAACCGAAAAACTGTAAATCGAACCGAACACCGAACAACTTATATAAATATTTATATATATTTAATACACTTTGTATTTATCTTCACTCTTCATTTTTAAGATATAAATAAATAATTTAGACATGTAAAAAACATATTTAACATATATGTAGTATTATTTTAACTTTTACACAGTTCATACATTTATTATGACAAAATTAGCTAATACGACATATTTGTATTTGTTAAGTTTAATTTGGCGATAATAATAGAAGATTGCATTTATATTTCTTACATGATTCATTTGAATAAAATTGTGAATATTACAACATTTGTACCACCGACTCCTTTGGTTTTTTTTTGAATATTTTATGTGATACTCCGTATTATAAATGCTAATCAACTATAATCTTATTTTTTGTGAGAAGTGAATCTTTTTCTAGTGATCAAAAAGATGTTAGAAGTTTTAATTTATAATATTTTATTATTTCTTTTTTCAATTTATTTCCTTTTACATTTTATTTTGGGAAAATAGAAACTAATAATCCAACCTTTTAGCGGTCTTTGTACAATAGTCCCACTTTTCGTTATTCATGAATAATCCAACCTTTGCACATCATCTTCATTCACTAGTCCCTGACCAGTTGATGACCTGCTATTCCAAGTTATTTTCTTATCTTTGCAAACCATTATACCATAAATATCACCTTTCACAAGATAATATTTTGCAAAGATAAGAAATAATTTGGAATAATAGGTCATTAACCGGTCAGAGACCAGCGAATGAAGATGAGGTGCAAAGTTTGGATTATTCTTGAATAACGAAAATGTGGGACTATTATAAGAAGACTACTAAAAGATTGAATTATTACTTTCCATTTTCCCTTTTATTTGTAATAATCAATAAAACAAGATGAGATGAAGTATTACTTTCATTTTCTAATTCTAAAATATATGAACTTGATCAAATAATATTATAATAAACATAAGAAAATGAATCAAATCGAACTAAATTCAACCTATACTTTTCACTTTGGTAAACCGAACTTCAAACCGAACCGAATCGAAACCGAACCGAAACACAAATGGTTTTAGTTTGGTACAAATTTTCCCAACCCGAATAAACCGAAACCTAATATTTTATAAAAAAAATATTAAGGTTGGCTTTTCTAGGAGAAAATCAAAGTGCTTTTATCACATGACAAGTATTATTAAAAGTATAAATAAGAAAGATTAGAAAAGTGGACGTCAATTGTTGATAATACTGTGATGGCTCTTGAGACCCAACATTTTATTAAAAGGAAGAGTACAGGAAAGGAGGGCTATGTGGCATTAAAACTTGATATGAGTAAGGCTTATGATAGAGTTAGCCGGGGTTTTTTGAGGAGAATTATGGAGAAAATGGGATTTGGGTCGAGATGGGTCAAAATAATAATGGAGTGTGTCACTTCAGTTAATTATTTTGTCTAGTTCAATAAGGATCAGTTGAGACCAATTGTACTGCAGAGAGGGCTACGACAGGGAGATCCGTTATCATCATATCTCTTTATTCTTATTCTATGTAGCACCGATACCGGTACGCGCGGAAACGCGGAAACGGGTACGAGGATACGTCAAAACCAAAAAAAGTAGGATACGGATACGAGGTCATATTTATAAATATTAAAAGTTATGGGGGTGTATTTACAAATATTAAAAGTTATAGGGGTCTATTTATAAATATTAAAAATAGATTTTTTTTAATATATATACACACACACACACACACACACACACACACACACATATATATATATATACATCTAATATCATATGATGTCTACACATTCATTGCATTGAAACATTTTCCTTTTTCAAGATACTTAGTAATAAATTCAGAATATTTCTCATATACACTAGTTTATCTCGAAATATAAATGTACTCAATAAGTCATTAATTTAAAATGAGAAATAAGTCTAACAACTATAATCTTGAAATTAAAAGTGCAAGTACCCAATTCGGAGTATGAGTTAATGACTTAATTCGGATATAGCCATATAGGCTCATTATTTGATTACCAAGTAAAATGTAGTTTTAGATTTTTATTTTTTTTTAGAATTTTATTAAGTAAATTTTGGGATTTGTTTTTAAAAAAAGTTGATACGGGTATCCGTCAGGATACGAGTATCGGAAACTTTCAAAGAATTACAAAAAAATGGAAACTTTTAAAAATTGCAGATACGGCCCGGGAACGTACGGTACGGGTATCCTAGAGTATCTGATACGGGAACGTATCTGATACGCCGATACGCTACCCTAGGGAAGTATCCGTGCTTCATAGTTCTTATTACAGAGGGATTAAGTGCCATGATGAGGAGAGCTGATCATCAGGGCCGAATACATGGGGTCTCAGTTAGTAGGGGGAGCTCCAAGAGTATCTCATTTATTATTTGCTGATGATTGTTTCATGTTTTTTAAGGTTTCGCAGGGAGATAGTGTGGCCATAGAAAAATATTTTACAAAGGTATGAGGGTAGTTCGGGACATATGGTGAACTTTACAAAATCCTCATTGACGTTTAGCCCAAATGTGGGTGAACCCTTCAGAGAGTATTGTTGTCAGCACTTCGGTATCTCAAGAGATAATGGATAGAATTTATATGTGGGGCTACCAACATTAATTGGGAAAAATAAATCTACCATTTTGGGGTACTTGAGAGATTGTATTTTCAATAGAAATAAAGGTTGGAATAACAGATTTCTCTCCAGAGCTGGACGAGCAGTCTTGTTGAGCAATCTGATACAGGCTATGCCAAATTTTGCCATGAACGTGTTCCTGCTACTAAAGGAGTTGTGTGATGAGATTGAAAAATTAATGAATGGTTTCTGGTGGAGGAGAGCAAATTTTGAGTATAAGAGGCTTAGGTGGAGACGGTGGGATCACATGTGTAGACCGAAGGAAGCAGGTGGGCTGGGATTTCAAAGAATTAGAGAATTTAATTTAGCTATGTTAGCTAAACAGGGATGGAGACTGATTACTGAGACAGATAGCTTGATGTGCCGTGTGTTGAGAGCAAAGTGTTTCCCAAATTCTAATTTTTTGGAGGCTAAGATTGGGAGTAATCCTTCGTTTATATGGAAAAGTATTTTTGAGACTCGGAATATTTTAAGGAATAATATCAGGCGCAGAGTGGGGAATGGAATAAATGTTCAAGTCTGGAGGGGATGCATGGCTGCCTGGGGAGAGGGATGGCCGAATTACCTCTCCTAGGCCTAATGGAGTGAGGGACATGAATGTTGCACCTTTGAGAGACTGTTCCGGTAAAGAATGGAATACATTACAAATTAATAATTTATTCCATGAGGAGATTAAAAAGAAAATTCTTAGTATTCCAATAAGTTGGCAGAACAAAGAGGATGACAATTGGTGGACAGGTGAGAGGAATGGAGTTTTTTTTCGGTCAGAAGTTGTTACAGAGCTAGCATGGGTGATGTTCCGGGCTGGCGCATGGGAAGGGTGGAAGTAGGTTTGGGAAGCTCAGGTACCACCGAAACTTAAATATTTTATCTGGCAGGTTATTGATGACACGCTACCAACGGTGAACAATCTAAGGAAGAAAGGAGTGGCCATACAAGGCGGGTGCGTAGTATGTGGTGATGCGGGGGAATCCACTGCACATGTAGTGAGAGACTGTCCTGGAGCTTTGGAAGTTTGGAAGCAAGCAGGAGTGATCACCGAGGAAGACTCTTGGTGTGGCCGAGGATTGGCCAAAAAAGAATGTTGCTATGATTGATTTGTCATACATGTGCAAATTTATTTCTATACTTTGGAGCATTTGGAAGCGTAGAAATAATAGTGTTTGGAAAGACAAAAAGCAGGAGGCGAGTGAGGTACTCAATATAGCGGCTGCCATGCAGACTGCGTGGAAGGAGGTGCATCGGCCGAATTCCAGTTCTGCAGCGGGTAGGCAGGCCGTGACCGCTGCTAGATGGTGTAAACCGTGACTGGGAGCAATCAAGCTCAATGTGGATGGAGCGGTGGATCAGGCGAATGGAGTTAGAACTTGGGGATGGATAGCTCGGAATGAAGACATGGAATTTAATAAAGCATGTGGAGCCTCACAAAAAGCAGAGTGGACAGTAGAAGAACCGAGACTATGGGGCTCAGGGATGCAGTTAGGTGTGCGGTGGAAGAGGGCTGACAGATTGTGGAGGTGGAAACGAATGCGTTATCTGTTGTGCAAGGGTTGAAACAGGATGCGGGTTTTTCATATCTTCAGCTTATTTTAGATGATATTCAAGGAATTGTGAGTGAGAAGAGAAATCTTTATATTTTATTGTAAACGGTCTGCAAATCGCGTGACTCATGCAATAGCTAGACCTCATGTGCATTTACCATGTCAACGAGTAGTGTTTGAGTTTGCCCCTTCTTGTATTTATAGCCAAATTGCTAACGATATGTTGGATCAATATATGATTTATGTTTGACGATAAAAAAAAATTAGAAACATTTTTAATTTGGACACGTAAACTATGGTAATTTCAATCCATATCACTTTAATTATGGAAAAAAGACAAATAAGTCCTCGAACTAACAAAAAAGTGCAAATCACCTCTTATATAGGAGGTTCTGTCCGGGCGTCGCCATTTGGGGCGGTTACCGGTGACATTTTTTTATGAATATTTTTTAGCATCTTCTTCATTAAGTCTAGTTTATCCATACCAAATTTCAGCTAAAAATAAAACCGGGAAGACAATCAAATGATTTTCTGAAATATACTGCGATGTTTAACTGCGCAGTTATCTTCACAAATTCATTTGACTGCCTTCCCGATTGAAATTTTATCTGAAACTTGGTATGAGTAAACTAGACTTAATGACGAAGATGGTAAAAAAACGTTATCGAAAAATTACACCGAGAATCTCCCCAAATGACGACGGCTAGATAGTAGCACCTATATAAGGTCTGATTTGCAAATGAATGTCTGTGTTGGGCCTTATTCGTCAATTCAATCAGAACCCAATTATTGCTTTCTCTCCATTCTTTTTCCATCAAAATAGGAAAAGAAAAAGACAATACCTCGTCTTTGGATTTCCCTGTTCTCATTCGAACTTTTCTTTTATCCCATTTTCCACTGTCGTTTTGGAAAGTCTCTATGACTCTTCTTCTCACTTTCTTTCTATCCATAAGTCCAATTTTTGTGGCTATTTTCTGGCGCTGATCTGGCAACTTTCCTCTCTCAGAATCTCAGGTTGATTTTTGGGTTTTCTTCAAAGTTCTTGGGGAAATGATCACATGTTTGGAGGGAATGGTGGGAATTTGTTTGTGCAATCAGGGACGCTTTTGAATTTATTTGGACAAAAGTTAAATTTTTATTGGACTTTTGGAAATATGAAACAGAAAAGAACTGGGGCAAAGGGTTATTGAAATAGGAGATTCTGGTTTAAAAATTTGATTGTTGACTTTTCTGTTTTTGCTGATCATGGTTGACAAAAAAAACTTAGCCTCTGTTGATCTTATAATCACTTTTAAGATACCCATTTTGATGTGATATTTCACTTCTGTAACCCTTGACTTCTTAGATTTCAGAATCAAACAATGATTTCATTGTGATTAATAGAATTAGTTTCATTTTTTTTCCTGACTTGTTTGATTTTAGCATCACACAATGATTCCATTGTGATATGAGGAATCATACCACCATGTTTGCTATAATGGAAGATTCCATTTTTACATTCTCTCAAGGAACACTGAGATCTGATTATCTGAGGAATCTTATGAATCAACATAACTGATCTTTCTGTTTCAGGTAATCTGGATAAAAACTGCATTTTCTATATCTAAATAATGACTACATAATTTAAGATTTAATAAATAATAATAGAAGTAGAGCACCCTACATTTTTATGGAGGTGGGAGTACAATTTCTAAAGAAATCTCAGCTTCCATAGAGTGTAGTGTAAAATTCTCAACCTAAGAAAATAATATGCTAATCTTTTTTGACTCCACATTTGCAAGAGACAGTTTTTGTGGTTAAAGGATGGGTATGGAACATATTGTATCACCAACTAGGAATGATTTTACTTGTGTCATAATATATCTTCTCAATTTTGTGTTTGATAGGGTAACAACTCCTTGATTATTAGATTGGACAAAGAAGTACAAAGCTGTCTGTTTATTAAATGGCTCCTGGAGGCAAGAACTACCAGGAAACTGTAATTCCCTGTCATTCATATGGGGATTACGGTATTGCCCCTGAAACTTCTGGATTTAAAGGCTCCTCTCCTCTTAGAAAGTCTGCAGCTGTTGCTAGCGGGAAGAATGGAATCGGATCCAATAGTGCGGTTCATGAACTACTGGAGTGCCCTGTTTGTTTGGATATGATGTACCCACCTATTAACCAGGCAGGTTCTTCCCCACTAATCTTTAATCAATGAGCATATCTAGAAATTAAATACCATAATGTTTTGCTTAAAAAACTTGTAAACTCAAACTAGGAACTTAATTCAAAGGTGTAGGGAGTATTCTCTTCGATATGATGAGTAGGTCGTTTTTTAAGTATATTAAAGACTCGATTGTGTGTGGATTTTCACTTTTGAGCAAGACGGGCAGAAAGGGTTTCCGAAAGGCCAGTCACCAATATGACCACTACAAAAGGTGTAGTCCAGGTATATTAACAGCCAACAATCAAGGTCTTAGATGAGAAATATGAAGAAACTTTCGAGCAAAGGGCAATGCAGGCTCTGCCATATGAATGATTTAGTTATTACTCTGAAGATAGTTTCACATCGCAACTAATAAGCCTTATATAGGCAAAACACACGAGTTCCAATCACTGTAGGGACCCTTTGGAAAGCAGAAAATGCTAGGCAACGGAAATCATCATCATCATCAACAACAACAATACCCCAGTGCCGCAAAGGCTCCCACCTTCGGTGGGGTAAGGGGGGTCGGATGTACGCAGTCTTACCCTTGTACTGAAGCACAAAGAGACTGTTTCCGGATGACCCATAGTGAAAATCGTGTCGAAAATTGCATGTAGTATGGACTGACTGCTGCTTCATAACAAAGAAGCGCAGACAGTTTAGTGAGCCATTTTGCTTTATTCTATCATATTCTCAAGCCAAAAAATAGTGGTCTTTCGCTCCATTGCAAATGATGGAAATGCTAGGCAACGGAAATATAGAAAAAAAATCGGAATAAACTTGGAAGGAAAGAAGATGCTGAGGAAAATAACATGCTCAGTATTCCTTCGAAATCAAATTTATTTATTTATTTATTTATTTTTCATATGCATTATATAAATGCTAAGCAGCATAAACATATGTAAAGAAATTTAAAAACATTAATTATATCTTATTTTCTTTTGCATTTTCTGAGATAATTCCAAACATTAAAAACAATTTCCTTTGCATTACTAGGACTTTGCAGGATTCAAACATAGCCTAAAGCCCTAAAGGAAAGAAAGAAATAATACTACATCTCATTGTAATAAAAGACTAACAACAATTAGGAATACTTATCAAAAGAAATAACACATTACTTGGACAACGCTTCATGAAGACCTAGGCTGATAACTCCGTGGCCTTCTGGCGGCGACAGTAATCTCAGCCCTTGAACAGGTCAATAACAAGGTTTCTCCATACCCTCACTTAAAGGGTACTTTCGTCAAATCCATAGCATTCCCTGAAGTCCTGAACAATTCATTTTGGCCCTTGCGTAGTTGAACACTTTTGCTGTGAAGCGGTGTTTTAAATACGCTAGCCTGGCAGCAGCTTGAGGCCTAGTTCCTAGGGGCTAGAGGTAGGTTCAATAGGAGCATAGGCTCTTAGAGAGACACTATTTCTCTACTCAAAAATAAAACTACTGTGTTCAAAGGAAGCCTAGCACCCATATATAGATTTGTTAGATTATTAGAAATAGAGATATAACTTATGATCTTAGAAATTTTAAAACATATGTTTCCTTGTTTGCTCTCTATGTTAGGGGAGAGGAACTAATATAGAACTACATGCTATGACAGAAGCACTTACAGAAGTATTTCCAAAAAGTCTAGATTCACATTTGACTGCCCTTGATAATAAATGACGTGATGTGTTGAAAAGCAGGATATTGCCACGAGTCCTCATATTACATGTACCAATTTTTGTGAGGGGAATTGGAATTCGCACCCCACTTTTTCACCCAAATTTCAGTTTGCACCCCATTTATGAAATCATTAAAAGTTGCACCCCAGAGTTGATATTCTGCACCCCACTTTTTCTTCCGAATTGTTGTACTTGTAGCATATCTCTTGTTGTAAGATATTAAATCCATGTGATAATAATTAATGCATTTCTTGGTTTTGTATAAGGATGGATTCAAGTTTTAATTTGATTATTGTATGTTGTTGTAGTGTCCCAATGGCCATACATTATGCCAAAAGTGCAGGTCAAAGGTACAATTGTGCCCTATATGCCGCCATGATATTGGAAACATTAGGTGTTTGGCGTTAGAGAAAATTGCGGTATCACTGGAACTGCCTTGTAAATATCAGATGTTTGGTTGTCAAGATATATTTCCTTACCATAGCAGGCTGAAGCACGAGCAGAACTGCAAGTTCCGCCATTATAACTGTCCTTATGCAGGCTCTGATTGTCCTGTTATGGGAGATATTCAGTTCCTTGTAACACACCTTAAAAATGACCACTCGGTTGACATGCACGACGGCTGTACCTTCAACCACAGATATGTCAAAACCAATCCTCAAGATGTTGAAAATGCCACATGGATGTTGACAGTAAGTCCTCCCCTTCTCTCTCTTCCTCATTCTCTATTAGAAACTGCATATTTGTTTTCATGAAACTAAAAATGCCCTGTGATTCGGAATCTAGGATCCTTCTTGTTTTAGTCTTGTAATCATTTAGGTTTCCCCAGTTTTAGGACTTCTTGACAAAAAAATCCATACACAATAGTTCATCGTGTGGATCCTGTGTTCCTCAATTTGGCCCTTTCCGGATTTTTTTGTTACTTGTTGTTTCTTATTGTTAAGTAGGACATTTTAAGCTTAAAATTTACCTATTTGTACATTTCCTCGTTAAGTTCAATTTCATTGAAAAAGACTACATTAGGGAATGAGTTATATAAAAGGTGATTTTGTTTACTGAAAGTCCTCAAATTGGCCAAAAATAATGAATTTTGGGGGAGAGTGAAACTAGCTACATGACCGTTTTGGGTCCCGTATAATGAATACAACACCAATTTTGGGTCCTGTGTAGTAGATAGTAATTTCATTTAGGGCTTGTTTGGTTCGGAGATTTCAGAGGGAATGGGAGGGGATAACTTATTTTCATCGTACTAGTTTATCTCTATTCGTGAGTTTTAGGCTAGACAACAACTATATGTGTGTTAAGATAATTTTTTTCTATTTAGTTTCTTATTTTCACTTTATTTCCAGCAATCTACATGTAGAATTAATTTTAAAAAATAAGTATCACCTAACCCTAATAGATCCTAAATAGGCTCCAGATCCCAGTTTGCCGCCTAGCCAGCTCCCAGTTTTGTTACAACATTCACATTCAATAATTGGAATACAACGGGAGAGTTCCAATATGAATATGGAAATTTTGGATGTTTTTCAAAATATTTGTGATTCATTTATTCATATGGAACAAAAAACAGGTCTTCAACTGTTTCGGTCACCAATTCTGCTTGCACTTTGAGGCGTTCAACATAGGAATATCACCTGTATACATGGCATTCCTCCGTTTCATGGGTGACGAGGAGGATGCAAGGAAGTTCAGCTATAGCCTTGAAGTTGGTGGCCCCGGAAGAAAGTTAACATGGCAAGGTGTGCCAAGAAGCATACGCGAAAGCCATAAAACTGTACGGGAAAGGTTTGATGGGCTGATAATTCAGAGAAGCATGGCCCTCTTTTTCTCTGGTGGAGATAGGAAGGAGCTGAAGCTGAAGGTTGCCGGTCGGATATGGAGAGAGCAACGGTTATAATCAACAGAATATATGTACACATTTCCTTTCTTCCTCTGTAGCTGTAACTCATCACAGTAGTAGTTAGTTAACAGCTGATGGCTTGTATAGGGGTTTCTTCTTTATTTTATTTTCTTTTGTACCACATAAAGTCTATAGATAGAGACCTCAACCAGCTCTTGTATAAACTTCTCTTTTCAGAAGTTTTTTATTTTAATCATCACAAGTGTTCACAGTCTGGGTTAACCTCTACTCCGTATATTCTCGTCATTTTTATACAGGAAAGTAACTTTAAATATAGGAAAAATTGATACTAATAATCCCAACTATTGGCGGTTCGCTCATAATAATCCTAACTATCGATTATTTCACAATAATCCCAACTTTGGAGACCTTCCGCCAATAATGGTCTAATGTGACTGACTATAAATAAATTCTTATGGTTTCTAAAGTGGATGTAAAGAGATGTAGCAGGTAATCCCTATAAATAATCCCAACTTTAATTTTTAAGCTTAATTTCTATTAAAAATTCACCTGTTATAGTAGGTAATATCCGGTCATGGACCATTATTGGCGGATGGTCTATATAGTTCGGATTATACAAAAATAATCAATAGTTAGGATTATTGTCAGCGGACCGGCAATAGTTGGGATTATTATTTTCAATTTTTCCTTAAATATAAAATCTTTCATGTACCAAGAATAATACGTACATTGGAAATAACTTCTAATGATACTAGTGAAATAATTTTTCACTTTCTATATAACGAAAGTGATTTACAACAATTTTTCACTAAAAATTCAGTCATTTAACATATCAAAAACTAATATTAATATGAAATAATTATCCCATGTATGACTAAAACTCCCCCAGTTTATGACCTAATTAGTTTTTCCCCAAAATAATATTTAAATCTATTATATTTAATTAATTTCATAATTAATAATTAAATGATTATTTTTTATGGACTAATATACCCTTTAGGTTAAGCCTGTAAAACCATAACCTCCTACTCTTTTTCTCCAACCCTAACCTCTAGCTTCCCACTACTCACGCACACCCGCCTGCCCCCCCCCCCCCCCCCCCCCCCCGCCGCCGCCCAGCCGCTGCCTTGCCATACGTCCGCCTGCTCACCACCTCCATCCAACTGCACAACCGCATGCTCTCCTCCTTCGTACGTCCAGCCCACACTCGCCGCCGCCAAGCCTGCCCTGGCCGCCGTCCCGCTGCACAATTGCCTCGTCCATGGCTCCATCAACCAGCGTGCTTGATCTATTGCCGTTTGAGATTAAGGTTTGTGCGGTTCTTCTTCTATTTAATGAAATTAGGGTTAATAATTATTGTTGTCAAAGAATGACGATGGACCGCCGCTCCAACAACTCAGATTCTTGAGCCAAGGCGGACGAGGTTGAAGGCGAGCCCTATGTTGAAGACAATTGAAGATAGTGTGCAGTTAATATTTTGTATGTAATGCCGTGAATATCACAAGAAGTGCAATGATTATGACAAAGAAGTGCAATGATATGACCCTATATAAAGTGATTTTGACAAAAAGTGCAATAATGTAGAGCATTAACATTGATATAAAGTGCAATTATCAAATCTAAAAAGAAAAAAATATAAAATGCTAACATTTTTGTAATGTCATGCCATAACTCTCGCATGAAGTGCATTATATTCAATTAAACGTAAAAACTAAAATCATCAAAACAAAAAAAAAGGACAAATTGAAGTGCCATAACTTAAGTGCATGAAGTTCATTATATGTCGTGCAGTGAATGCCGTCATAAAGTGCAGTAAATGTTGTGCTATAACGCGTTCATAAAGTGCAATATTTTTCGACCTTCCACATTATAATATAACGAAATTTTCTTTTCTTTTTCGATTTTTAGTCATATTTCGGGGGGAAAACATAGTTAGTCATATTTTGGGAAACTCGATATGTTTTAGACTTTTAGTCATATCTTGGGAATTTTTCCTATTAATATATCAAATATGTGACCCTATTTTCAAACATCATTCATTTGATGGTTTGGTATCAACTTTTGATGTCGTAAATGACTGAATCTCTTATCGAATATTCAAATATTTGGTATCATTAGAGATAGTTTCAAAAAAAGTATGTATTATTATTGTTTTATGGGTGATAGTTGGTACTCCCTCCGTCCCATTTAAAGGTTCTCATGGCAAAATGACACGATTATGAAGACAATAATTAAATATGCTAATTCGAATATTTTTTGAGAAATAATTTTGATGAGTATATAATATAATGGGTTATTGATGATAACTATGATTTTATAAATATTTTTTAGTTCTTGATGATTAAATTGTCATTTAAGAGTGTTAATGGTTTCCTAAAATAGAAAGTGAGAACCTTTAAGTGAAACGTCCAAAAAAATGAAAGTGTAAACCTTTAAATGGGACGGATGAAGTATTATTTAAAGTTATTTTTCCTTTTTTTAATATAATTAACAATCCACTTCTCCTCTTCTTGACACTTCGTGGTATAAGTTTTTTACGTTAAAGTATAAAGCTTTAAATTGTGGATCTGTCCGACAAGGAGGCGCCTATTAGCAGTTTAGCACAATGTCGTTCGTCCTCCTCCAACCCCAGAGGTCAACAATGATCTTGCCTCTGGGCTTATAGAGTTCTCCAGGCTCGGACCTCGTGCTGAATCGAGGATGTTGTTCGGGTAGACGGCTTCATCCATTTGGTGCTCCCTTGGCGTGAAAGTGCCCTCGGACTTCCCAGCAAGAAGTTATTATACAACATTTTGAAAAAATTAAATCTCATATGATTGATCTACCCAGATTACGCTTTTATTATTTTTATTTTATTTTGAGCAAATACATAATAATTCTTAGCCTTCACTATGCCCCTCCTTCGGAAAATCTGTGGCTCCGCCACTGCAGGGGCCTATGAGCGGCAAGGTCGGGCTATGGTCAAGTTGAGGGCCGAGACCGACGGCCTAATCAAGAATGCCAAGGATCGCGTTTCCCGTCTTCAAGAGAAGGCGGATGTTGCTGACAAGGATGCTCATGAATTTACGGCCCTGCAGGCAAAACTCAAGTGCGATAGGGGGAACTGCAGATGCTCTGTGCGCAGCTCGGCGCCATTAGTAAGGCCGGGGTTGTGCTTCGGCGTGTGGGAGAAGATGGAACGGTCTCGGACTGCGAGGCAGATGTTTCCAAGATCAAGGTAGCTGGTTCGGCCAAATTCCAACGGTCTACAGCCTTTCGGGACGCCCTGCAAGCCGTTGTTAAGAAGTTACTACCCCGGTTCGTCGGGGAACTTCTGGAACAAAGCAAGGAGCTCTACTCGGATGGTATCTCGTTGCTCAAGGGTTCCCCTACCGGATAGTGGTTCCTTGCGGACCTGGCCGAGGATACCATTGCCAAGGGCATGGTCTGCCTCATTCAGGAGAACCTCCCAGTTCTGGAGCGTCACTTCCCCGCTCCGTTCAACTTGAATCTGCCGGATTTGATCCGCTATTCGTTGAGGCCCACGAGGAGGCCCTTAAGTTGATCAAGGAGAAGGAGGAGGCTGCCTGCCTGCTTCTTTTTTATAGCAGAAGCAGAATCAGAATTCGTTTTCAGAATCTGGTACCCCCCAACTTCTAAAAAAACTGATTCTGAGAGTAAATTAGAGCACCAGAAGTGCTTCTGGATTTTCATCCAAACACTCCAGCTTTTGCTTCTGCTTCTTGAAGGAGCAACATCGATTTTGAGAATCAGATCCAAACACCCCCTAAGTAACATTCTTTTCCCTGTTGCATTGTGTTAACTATTCGCCCTGGCCGTTCGTCCCCAACCCCCTCAGCAAGTTCTCGGCACGGCCCAGCGGGCTCGGCCACTACACTTGGTTTGAGGCCCCTATAAAAATGACGATAATTGAAAAAATGATAATGACGAACTGACGAAAAATGTATGACGAAAAAATGTATGAAGGAATAAAGTACTATATTAAGATCTTAGGCTACTCCTATCGGGTTAATCTTTCAAGAATGAACAAGTGAACAACAAATCTTTAAACATGTAACTCAAGCTAAAAGTTCGTTGCCTAGATAGATCATGATTTTGGGGAAGATGACTGAATGACTCCAGCTAGATCATTTCCCAACATTTTCTGAGTTCCTTAAGAATTGTGAAGAAAAAAGAATCAAAATTTAAGAATGATATGAATACACGGGAAAAGTAAAACACCGTAGATTGAGTTTAGTAAAATGCATAGAATGAATGATAAGAAGATTTGGACTGTTTTCAGTCACAGGACAAACCAGACCAGATCAGATCAAACCAGACAAGATCAGATTAGACCAGACTTGGACAATTATAAAATACACAAAGAGTAGACATTTACCAGACCATATCAGTTTAGACCAGAAAATTACAGTTCAAGTAAAAACATCCTGACATCACCAACATAACGGATTACGGGAATTATTTTTAGCCAATTCAAAAATTTTAAGTTATGGGACCAAAATTATTTAGTAGACATTTTGTATATATTATTTAAATATCAACTCAAAATATAAGGAGATACAGTAAATAGTTGAACAAAATGTTACATATTCTTTTATTTTATTTTGGTTGACTGATACACTATTGATAATATTAAAATTTAGAGTAATACTTGTTTTACAAGCCGCGTAAACATCATATATTTTGTTTGTGTCATAGAAATTATTGCATTTTAAAGACGAATAACATGTAATACCAATAAAATACCGGAGGCGTGTACACATCATGTTAAAAATGGCTTGTCTCCTAAAATTTAAAGTAAAGCAAACTCTAGTTTACCGAAAGGTTAATTCGGGAGGCCCCACCCTAGCTAGATATTTAGTATGGAAAAATGTCAAAAAACATAATGCCATTTAAGGAAAGAGAAGATTTAATTATTCCATCAACCCAATTCTGGTTGAATAATTAATCACAGACAAATGATGAAATGGTGACTTGGACCAATCAAATTAAATGCATGATAAGTACAATAACCTATATTTGTGTTTCGTAGCGCTCGCCTTCTTATTTTACTTTAATGGTTGTCACAAAATAAATGACTTATTTCCATTTTGAAAGGAAATATATCAATCTGATTCATATCGTTTTACTTTATTCTACTCAACCTCAATCACAATTTTTACTTTTTAACAAATTTATTAATATTTATGTCAATTCAAAAAAAGACATAAAAAATGGGAAGGAAATAATACTTTGTATCCTTGTATGTGAATATAAATTCTTCTTTCTTGCAAACATAACTAA